TGTAATGGATAATGGCTTACAATTGTTAATTGGAGAGCAATTCCAATTGGGTTTGTTATATTCACTTACGTGCAAATGCTCTTGAGAAAGGTATGAATCCACTTCTCTCCCATTTATGTGTTAATTAGTAAGACTTGTATCATTATCTCCAAAAAATAAATTCTTACAATCTAAAAATATTTTCTGGCTTTAAATAACATGAAAAGGGTTGATGAACCTCAGGAAATTAATCAATAAAAAATGTATAAGTATTGCTAATACAGTAAATAATTTTTCTTTTTCAATTTTGGTCAAAATTAAAAGTTTGAGGGTAAAGATCAATCATTTCAGGTGCTTAAGCATTTTTCAATACTATAAGAGTTTTATTTTAAATAAGATTATTGGGCATACTTAATTTACAGATACCATTACCCCCCCACCCCCCATCACTCTAAAACATACTTGGAACTTAAGTTCTCTGTTGCTTTTTAAAAAATAACCAGTTAGTTTGTTAAAGATACAAACCTGATGAACCCCATTATTCTAGCCAGCAACCTGATAAAGTTCAACCCGATTTTTACTTTAACATGAAGTACCATTAGATTTATGGCCATACATAGTCCTCTTTTTTTCTTTCTTTCTACTTCAGCTAATCATATGAAATTACATTTGTTTCTGTTGTTGAAGCGTTTTTTATTTCGTAATGAAAGTTCGTGTACTCAACCTTTTGAACATGAAATTAACTAACAAAATGCTTATCTGTGTAGAGACACCCTCGAGATTAGCTTGTTCCTTCACTTTGCCTTGAATAGTCTGACAAAGGAAAATGCAAGGGAAGTAAGTCTATTTCATAATAGCGTTGATACAGGGGAAGTTACTCCTGTAATATCTAATAAACTAGCTTTTAAAATCTTACATTTGCTTATGACTATAACAAAAAAAGAAAAATTATTAATTACAATTATTTTGAGATGTAATGTTGCAAAACAGTAATATTTTTACTTGAATTTATATATCTAATTCATTTTCTTTACCTTTATTTAGAACAGAATTTGTTGCAAACATCTGTCATATTTACTCAGTGGCCTGTTTCATGGTTGATACAGTTATGTATTTCCTGCTAGTAGTTAGGGTTGAATCCTAGGTAAAAGCTAAAATTTAAAATGCAGGTTTTCTTTTTTAGAAAGATCAAAACAGTCTTCCAGCTACCCAGATGACCTATCACAATAAACTTAAATGTATGTATATCCTGGAAAGTTCATTAAAAATCTTTACAATATTACTTTATACACAAAGCTGTAATTATAAATTATTGCTAGTTTATATAATATAAACACTTTCGGTTTCATACAGATTATAGCTTATTGAAGCAACCTATTTTGCAAAAGGAATTTCAAATTTAACTTTGTTTACATCTGTATTTAATGTTATAAATGTCCATATATGCTAAAGTTAGATGAAATGTTAATCATAAACTTGAGATTAAGTTAAAATCTTTATGGATAATAATCAATATGTATTTTTTGATCTCTCATGTTTTCCAGTTAATTTTCCCTTTGTTTCTGCAAAGTTTTGCCTCTTTGGCATCTCAAGTTATAGATAAAATGTTTAGTCAGTAACAAAAGAGCACTCCTTTTGAAGCTATGGAAACCCAGATTTATCATTTTTAAATATTTTTAGAATTATCTGTTTAACAAACTGACATGAATTTGTCTTTTACAAAAACACATACACTATATTTATTTTTTAAAATAATCTTATTTGAACATTTTTCATTCCATTTTATATATCTGCTTTGCATTCAATATTTTTCACTGTTAGTTTAACAGTTTGTTTACATTGTGATAACATCCAAGAAGGATTGTGGTCTTGCATTTCATACCTTTATCTAGAGTAGCAATCTTATTGTTAATATTTCAACCATTGCATTCTAAGTAGGATTTCAGGTTCCAGTTTTAATGTTCTGGTTGGAATAGCTGCCTTGTAAGGTTAACATTGTATAGTTTCAGATTCTGATTTTTTACAATATTTGAAAAAAAATGCCAATGCTGCTTTCAAGATAGTTTTAAAAAAGTTACACAATTAGGTTTCACCACTTTTTTGCTGAAAAAAAAAAATAGCATGACGAGAAACGGGCCCCAAACTTAATAAAAACAAAGTTTTATCCTCAAAATGTTTATTATTAAGAGGAAAGACCAAAGTATTTTATTATTTTATATTAAATTTATAATCCTTTCCAGCACATTCAAAATTTTGGTTAACAAATCTTTTTTGTGTGTGTGTCAGTGGTCAATTTAAGTTATGGTTAGTGTCTTTGCACTTTTTTTTTTTTTCCTTTCTTTCCTCCAGTGAAAAACTCCTTGATTTGGAAATTCTTGCAAGAATTAAATAATTGTCAGATTTTAATGAAACTTTCAGGACTTATTCACAAAAAAACTAAGCTATATACATAAAACAGTTGAGACCTAACCTGAACAAAATAAACTACAAAATCTCCACAAATATTCTTAAATGCCTATAATTGATAGAAGCCATTGGTTTATACCAACAGCTTCCCATACTTAATACTTCTCATTTTTACTCTTGCGTGGTCATGTGTGGCGTCACGAGCTGCGACATGATTTTCACTTCTGTGTCTCATATACACAAATTTGTTGTTGCTTTGAAATTTTTCATGCAACAAAAACAGACTATCATTGTTTCGTCCGTGTATTGCTTGATATATTGAAATGTAATTGTCATCTTTAATAATGGCTTATGTAAGCCGAAAGCTTAGATTGGATTTAAACATATATCAATATGGTGATTTCCTTTTGTCTTTCAATGATAATGTTATTAAACTTAGACAATTTGAAAGGAACTTACTTAAAATAGATAGACAAAACTTGTCTATATTATTTAATGAAACATGCATCAGTGAAAAACTGCTGCTTAAACACACACACACATATATATATATATATATATATATATATATATATATATATATATATGCACATAACATAATATGCCCATATTTTAAAAGTATGGACGGCCATACACGACATTATCAAAAAATAAGAATGATGACTATAGTAAATTTTAAGTCAACACTTCTAAAATTAGATTATGGAGAATATTTTCAAACATTTTTAAGATTACTGAGTACTTAAAAGGGGCTTGCCCATTATTTTCTTAAATTATGTTTTAACTGATAAAGTCTCCTTACATCTCAACAACTTGATCAGCACTTATGCGATTGATGAGTGATGACAAGCACATAATCACCGTTACTGTTTGTTTCTATTTTAAGTTTAAAGTAAATATTTTTTAAATCTGCTAATATTCCTCAGTTTCAGAAAAGTATATTTTATTTTGAAGATTTTTAAAACAGAAAACTTTTGTTTACAAATGTGTCAAAATGGCCGATTTTTTTTTTTTTTTTTTTTTTTTTTTTTTTTTTAAATTAATTTAAACCTTAGGTATTGAAAATTAGTGGTAGTAACTTTACAAAATAATTGAGATTTTTCTGAAATGAATATCTTTATACTTAAAAAAATTGAAATTAATTTGACTCTATCATGTTCCTGAAAATTGTTGGCAATTTATTAAAATTACCATGTATTCATTTTTATTTATTTATTTTTTTTGTTTAAAATCACCACAGAAATTAATAGATATGTTAGGCATGAAAAGGTTGAATCCCACATTGCTGAAATGATTTGCTCACGGTAAAAATTAGTATTTGAAGCTTATTTTATTGTCATCTTTCATTGCAGAGTTGAAACCTTGTCTGAAATTTCCCTGAAATTCTCTTCCAGTTGGTCATATTTAACCCTAATGTTATTTTGCTAATTATCATAGATCCACATGTCATTTCCTTATAATCACATAAAAATGAAATTTTATGCAATCATTTATAACCTCAAAAAATATCCTTATAATAAAAATTACATCTTTTTTGCATGTTTTTTTAATTTTCTTTTACATTTTATTTCTTGAAAATCCACCTGCTTTTTTTTCATTTTTAACTTTTTGCACTGCTTTTTATGTTTATCCTTTTGTGTTTTTATGTGTAAAACATTATGTATTAGTGTTGCCTGCTTATATTAGTCTGCTGTTAAGTAATAAGAGAAACTAGTGCACTAAGTATGTACCTTTATTTTCTCTTCAAGTAAACATAAGGTCTTTCTCAAATCATAGTAAAATTCTTTATTTATTTAGACTCCTTACATTTATTTCCCCCTCTTTGTTTTAACTTTAAAGCTAATTTTCTTATGTACTGACTTTCTTTGCTTATATACTTACTATATACAGTAATCTTCTTTTTTTTTTTTTTTTTCTTTAGCATCATACTAGTTTCTATTTTATATTGTGTAAACATTTTTCTCCTTTTTGGTCAGTTTTCATTAAATGTCTCAGCCTTAATATAAAAGAACCTTCTAAAGGATTTTAAAAATAACCCATTAAAGTTTGCCCTTAATCCCTTTGTACCTTTCTAAAGAAAATATTTAAAAAAAAAAAAAAATTTCTGTTGAGAAGTGAAAATAACTTTTTAAAACCTATTTTTAATCCCTCTAAAAATTAGAATTGAATATCATATGTTAAACTTGGTAGCACAGTATGCTTATAAAATGTGTTGGACTAGTAAGGGGGAAATAATCTATGTATTTGCAGTACTTAACACTTGTTTCATTGCTAAGTTGTGTGTTTATCACAGTGGTGGCAACTCTGTTTAGCTTTAATCATTGATTTTTCAGTACTCTTCAGTCTTATGGAATTAATCAGGTACATATAAAAAATAATTCATGTACTAATTGCTTCTATTTTATTATTTTCATAAATTTTATTCAGTAGTATCATACGAGAACAAAACTGTATAGTATTTAAACATCAAAAATTTATGATAGGACCCCTGTGGATTGTTTTTCTATATTTATTCAATTCTTTTTATCAGACCAAATCACCAAGCAACATTCTGAAGAGAATTGTAACTTAATATTCACAAATTCTAATGCCTGTATAACTTCTTCAAATTTCAGGCTCTAGTTGCTGGCCTTTTGCTTCAGGATCTGAACATTCTCGTTAACAGGCAGAAGATTGCCACATCATCACTTACAAGTGTAAGATGCCTGAATGGCAAAATGTTCTTTTTTTTTTTTTTTTTTTTTTTTTTTTAAACATTCATGGCTATTATTAATTTTCTCTCTTCATGGCATTATGACTATTATCACCATTTATTATTTTTTATAGCTAATATTTTTTTTAATATTTCTTTTTTTTTTTTACTAACTTTTGTGTTTTTTTTTTGTTTTTTTTCCCCCTTTCCTTTCTCATGTATCAGAATCTTTTTTAAATAATTTTGCAAGTGATTTCTATTATTTAATAAATTATTTAGGCTCCTAGTGTGAATTTAAATGGTACAATAAGTTGTTTAAAAGAAATTCTTAATTGGATCTTAGCATTTTTTCCTCCTATAAACTGCATGTTATCTCTTGAACTTCCATTAAGATAGCACTTTACAAATTAGATGGAGAGCTTATGCTTGATTTCTGAACATTGGTTGTATGCAGTTATGTTGATGTGCCTCTTCACAATGCTTTCCCTTTGATTGTGCTTTGTAGCTTGCTGCAGAATCATTTTTAGTTCATTTTTCACTGTTCAATCAAAATGGAGCAGTTTAAATACAATCTCCCTTATGATTTGATTTTCTTATTGTATATTATTTTATTTTTGGACTTTTTTTACATAATGAAGCAATAATATCTTTGTTTATGGCAACTTGATTTTAAATTGGGCATCTGTGGCTCTAAACCCCTCAGTCTACCACAATTCCCTAGGTTGAAAATAACCATAATGAATTAAAATCAAGTTACTTTTTTTGTTTTCCCATTAGCAACACAAGTAGTCCCTCATACCCTAAAAAATGATTGGGAATATATTCTATTCCAAGGCTAAGTGGAAAAGTAGTTTTTCTATATATTACAGAGTTATTGTTTTTAAGACATTTAAAAGAAATTTTGTGTACATTTTTGGATTTGTGTAAATATTAGTACACATGAAAAATTAGTTTTGAAATGTACAAAAATAAAGTATTACTAAGCCAGCAATAGACTAAGAAACAAAAATTACTTTCTTTTAAAGTAATTTTTCTTCAGTAAAATGAAACTTTTCCACATACAGGTCAAACGATTACTAATGCTAATATGATCTGATGATGAATAATCAGTGGCTTTTTGAAAAATTATTTTACTTTTTTTGTTTCCCTGCGTAGGAAAGAAGTGATTTCTATAATCTCAGAATGAAACAAAATTTAGTGTCATCCAAGTCCTACTTTTATTACAATTTTTAAAATAGTATTTATAAATTGTGACTTGTTCAGTTTTTCTTTTTCCTGCTTTCATGTTTTTCTTTTTCCCTGATGTTTTCCTTTGCATATCATGTTTTTTAACTTCTCTGGTATCCTCTTTCTTTCCCCCCCCCCTCTTTATCTTAGATATTGGTTATTATTAGAAAGGGTTGGTGAAAAGTTTTCAATCAAATCAAGAATGGATTCTTAAAAATTCTGATATTTGGTCAGATTTTGTGGAGTGAGTTGAGGATTTTTCAGCACTAACCTTGTAAGTGGCATTAATAGACATCCTATGACTGAACCTCATGTATATTTTGAGAAGTGGGATGGCTTGAAATAACTGGAGTTATGAAATCTTCTTCCTCACAAATCTTCCTTTTAATGTAGCAGATAATGTCAAAACAGGGCTACAACTTAAATCAATTTAATTCTGTTGATTATTTTGAATTCATATATTAGTACAAGAAATACTTAAATACTTGAAATCATAGATACAAAAATGATTCTCAAATAACTATATCAAATGTTGTCATCTATTATGAAACTGATTTACTTTTCCTTTGCTTGTGATTCTAAAAAAACTTACCTGTTTGTTTTCAGTACAGCTAAAAATTATTTATTTAAAAAAATTTTTTTTTTTCAGTTTTCTGTTAAAAATTGCTTTTTTTATTTTTTAATTGTGAGAAAAACTTTTTAATATATATATATATATATATATATATATATATATATATATATATACCAGGGCTCTACAGACAAATTTACCTTTTGACAACTAAATATTTTTGTTTACAAGCCAAATCCATGTAATGTTATTTCACTCTAATGTAATGAATAAAACAATTCCAGATGAAGTTTTGTTTTATTTTCTAATTCTCTAAAACAATACAGATTAAATTTATGGGAGGAAATTTAGAAATTTCAAGAACAATTACATTCAGTGGTACTGTTACCTGGCAAATATCACTTAGAATAATTCAGTCAACTGACAAATACATGTTTGAAGATCTCATCAGTTTCAATATTAGTTACTAAACTTCAAACAACAACCTCATAAAGACATTATATTCACTTCAATTGTTACCTGGCAAACTTTGAAAGGTGTCATTTAGAAATATTCAGTAAACTTACTGACAAAATTTAAATGCAAATTTGAAGTCTTCAAGATCTTATCAGTTTCAATGTTACTAAACAACCTCAAACAAAAAGATCATAAATAAATTATATTGAGTCTAGAAACTGTAGAACTGTTTAGTTACCTGGCAAATATCACTCAGGATAATTCAGTCAACTGACAAATGCAAGTTTGAAGATTGCATCAGTTTCAATATTATTAAATTTGAAACAACAACCTCATAAAAACATTACATTCACTTCAACTGTTACCTGGCGAAGGTGTCATTTAGAAATATTCAGTCATGATTTGCAGTTATTGTAACACTCTTAACAACAGATTTTTACCTTATTTTCAATTTCCCTATCAGGTTGGTAAATGTCACTCAGAAATATTAACTATAGTAATGCTGATCTAAGATCTTAAAGTGGAACTGGAAAGGGAAATGTCCGGATGGTCTGGCAAACACATACTGTGTCTTTGTGTTACTGACATTGAACTTATTTCTATCTGTTTCAAACTGAAATTTTATGAAATTTATAACACCATTTGCCCAATATTGAATTGCATTTATCTTTTTATTCCAATTTCCAGTCCCACTTTAACACTTGCTCAATTTGGATTGTCAAATCAGTAGCTTGTGACTCTAAATCTTTTTGTTTTCAAACAGTACTGTTTTGTCCTTATACTTTCGATCAACAGACACAATGTTAGCTGGCCAGTCACATTGTCCTGGCCCCCCAGCAATCCTTCTCCTGCTGTTTGCCATCCACTTGTCAATGGATTTCTCTGGGTTGAATTCAGCCAGATTTGAACCTTCAGAAGAAAGCAAGATTAAGTCTGACAGTCTCTGTACAGACAAGCTGCTCCGTATGTCGCTCTTTATTCTCTTCTGTGCAGAAAAGGCTCTCTCACACTCTGCAGAACTGATTGGAAGAGTGAGTATTATTCTCACAAGATGAAGTACATTGCAGAAGTCAGTCTTGTATGGGTCTTTGGTCAGTAGGATTTGCCACAGATCAGAATAAGACTTGTCCCTGAAAGTATTTGCAACAAGGAATTTCATGTGTCTCCATTCCATCTGAACAACTTCCATATTGCATCCTGCAGCCACAAGAGGTTTTCCAAACCAGTCACAAATAATGTCTATTTCATGATTTCCAAAATGGACAAGTTCCCTTTTGCATTCTGGCCATGTGTCATGATTGAACACCTTAATGAAACTTTTCGCCACACCTTGAGCATCTACACTTGTATTTATTCCCAACAGATTTTGAAACCTTGACTCTAGTTCTTTGATTGTAATGTCAACTGTAGACTCAACATGCTTCTTTAGTTTTTCTTTGGCCTCATAAACAGGACTCCCAGTCATTTCAACTCCTTGAAATTTGGGATTACCCTGCAAATTTTCAGACTGTTGTTCTTCAATACACAGGATAAACTTTTCATACATTCCCCCAGGAATGTATTCCTCCTTCATACTTGAAACAGTTTCCATACAATCCTTAATTGATGCAACTGCTACAGGAAGAATCAGATTGTTTGTCTGTAGTTTTAGACTGAGCAAAGCTAGCTTGCCAAATAGATCAGATACGAAATGGCAAAATGCAGTGAATACAAGATCCTTCAATTGCTTGTTTATTTTCTTAGCTCTACCAGCAATATCTGCATTTGATGATGTTGCTGCAAGATTTTCCATATGAGTGTAGACTGCTGCGTATTGACCATGATCCTCAGCCAAATGACCATCTTTCTTTCCTTGGAGAAAGACTCTCATTGCCCTGTCTACATGGGGAATCCATCTGGTACCCTTCACTGGCACTGGTGAGTAGATTCTTGCTTCAAGTTCTTCTCCAATGATCTTGAGTTCTCTCTTGCTCTTTGGACTGAAGTGGTAAGTCTTCCATATCAAATGTAGACAGTCATTGACAGACTGCATAATAGGAGTCTGTTTTTGTAGTTTCAATAGGACTAATTTAAGCCTATGTGCAATACAGTGAAAGTCTATGAGATGGGGAACTTCCTGCCTTAACAGTGACACAACACCATTCCTCTGTCCTGTATTCACATTTGCCCAATCTGCACAAAACCCAACAATTCTCGATGACATTTCATCATCACTGATCCCCACTTTTGAAAGAGCAGATTTAATAGCATTCAATGGCAATAACTTCAACAAGTTTTTTTGCTTTGCCATTCAACACTGTTCTCACATAAACTGCTTCATTTTCTGACACAGAGCTGTCAGTGGCACCATCAATCATAACTGACACATAATGAGTCACTGATAGATTCCAATGTCTCATCTCTGATCGTGCTTGCAATAGTAGACATCATTTCACCACACCTAACATTGTTACTGTATGCAGGTGTCACAGCCCATTTTTGTATTGAAGTAAGAGTAGGGGCTTGAGTTTTGTAAAGGCCATTTCTTCCTTCCCTATACAATAAACTGTGTTAAATTTAACTTTCAAATCCATCAAATCCTTTTCGTTTGATTTGATTTCTTCATTGAGAAATTTCTTGGTAATGTGAGACTTTTCAATTGAGTGTTTGCTTGTTTTATTAATGATAAAGTCGCGGCACTTGCCGTGTCTAAGACTTTTACTATGGGCAAGGACGTTTTCACATTTAAATTTAGTACTACCATCTACAAA